GTGAGGGAGAGAATATAGTTTTCATCGAGTACTTAGGTGTATTAAATTAATAACATTTCAGACATTGTTATAAATATTTTTATCCATTTCGATTTTAAAAATGTTCGAACCGTTTTAAATTCGAATTTGTTATTTCGTATTCGTATTGTATGCGTTTTAGTAGGGTATGCCATGAGAATGGACACTAAGAAGGGATTTTTCTAAATTCTCCCGCGGGGGGAGAGGGAGAGGATTAAGCTTAACCGGAAGAATGGCTTCTACTGTACTATTTTAGATGCGATTTTTTGTTTTCAACTACGTTTAGTCTTCATCGAGTACTTAGGTGTATTAAATTGATCACATTTCAGACATTGTTTAAATATTTTTATATATTTCAATTTTAAAAATGTTCGAACTGTTTTAAATTCGAATTTGTTATTGCGTATTGGTTCGATTATAGAACGATTGTAAACGTTTCAGAAAATTGATCAAATTGAAAATAGTTCGTTTGATTTTCGGCAATTCTCTTCAGCGGTAGGTGTTATATAACAATTACTATGGTTATTGAAATATTGGATGTAAATGGGGTTTGCTTGCAAAACCTCCGCTGACGAAGTCGCGGGTAACAGCTAGTCTAAACATAAATTACTTCAAAATATACTCGTATATTTATAATTTAATGACTTTTTAGTAGAAAAACATTGGCGTTAAATGTTTTAAACATTAAAACTTCTATAAATTATTTATAAATTCTGCAATACTTAATGGAATTACATTAAAATTTCTTTCGAAATTTATTAATTTCATTAGTAAAAATAATTATCATAACCGATCACGTGGATTTGCTACTTCAATTCCAGCAACAGCCATCTGGTGGTGATTGTTTAGATAAATTTATAGAAACAATTTTATATTTTTGTAGAATTAACTTAGAAATTAATATTTTCTTTTAATCATTAAATTTTCTAAATAATGATCGAAATATATTATTTGAAAAGATAATTTAATAAGTAGCTCTACTGGTTTAGTTAAAAAAGTTTAATCACTCAAGTTAAACGATTTAAACATTTTATGTAATTATTTAATATTCTACAGAATTCAGAAAATAAATTACAAATTATTAACAATTAAAATATTTAATTTTCTAACCAGCACGATTTTAATGTATAAAAGAATAAATTAATTCTTCAAAAATAATTAGTTCAACTTTATTAAAGTCCGAGTGCTGCCATCTCTTGACAATAACAAACTGCACTGATATTTAATTCTGTATCCTTTGATAGTTCATATAAAATAATTCAATAAAATGTTAATAAACAAAAATTAAATAAATTCGAATATATATAAAAATATATTTTATTGAATTTCAATATAAATAATTTCTTTTATTCAAAAATAACATTTTATATGCGAATAAATTATACACACACAAATATACTATATAATTAAAAAATATTTTCTTTTCATTAAAAAAATTAATAAAAACAAAAAATATTATTCTTTTGCGTAAATTAACTTTGATTTTTTAATATGAATAGAGTTCAGTTGGGACTTTGTCATTGGATAACACTGCATAATTCATAAATTGCTGAAACATTTGTACTACTTTCATAGGAAATAATCTGTAAAATGGAAAAAAAAACACAATTAATTATTTTATTTAAACCATTTATTTATTTTTAAGTGAAATAATTTGTACCGACCCAGAAATGCGAATGATGAATTCTATACGAGAAGGTATAAATATATTTCTTTTATTTCTTAATATAGCGTCGATCATTTTTGCTGCTGTATAATCTGGCTTTAATATTGGTAGAATGTGAGGAAATCTGAAAAAATTAAATACTATTAAAATTTGTTTTTTCTTCCAATATAAAACTTAAACAAGACGATGATTTTTTATATTTAATGTCATTTAGTATTTTCACTAAAAAGCTTTATACAGTGGTACCTCGGTATACGTCTGCTTTAGAATACGTCCAATTCGGAATACGTCCTGTTTGAACGAAATAAATTTTGCTCGGTATACGACTTTTGTTCGGTATACGACTTAATTCAATTATACGCGTCATCTATGAACAAGTAGCACTGTTGGTGTACTAGACCAGACTAAACGTTCCCGATGCCACAGTTTCTAACTTTGTTAAATTTCTTCTGATTTTAATTTGTAAGTAAAATTTTATTATTACAGTAGAGCGTCGTTTATCCGAAGGTCGGTTATCCGAAAGAATTCCAGTCGACAAATTTAAATTTTCGCCAGTGCTGTGGCGCTGCAATCTTTGGCTATGTCTTCGGCTACTCAAATATTTTACGTTTTTGATACTAAATTAACTTCTGAAGTATAATTTTTTATTGTTTTTATATTTTTCAATATATTTATTTTGTTTGTACAAAATAAAAAAATAATTTTTAACGATACAATAGTCTTCGTTAGGCTTAACATCGACGAAAATTCAACGCGAAGCGACACGCAACGGAGAAAAATTTCAACACGGGATAAATTAATATATTTTTTCGTACATAATTGGTTATCCGAAAAATAAGTTATCCGAANCATAATTCAATTATACGCACCATCTATGAACAAGTAGCACTATCGGTGTACTAGACTAGACTAGACGTTCGCGATGCCACAGTTTCTAACTTTGTTAAATTTCTTCTGATTTCAATTTGTAAGTAAAATTTTATTCTTTTTATTAATCATGAATTGCAAAAAGGCAAATGAAAAGCAACAGAAAACTAAAAAAATGACTAGAATCACAATGGAACTGAAAAAAGAGATTGTTGAGGAATATGAAGGTGGCATGTGTGTTCGAGATTTAACTGTTGCACACCGTATTCCGAGAACGATGATATCGACAATCGCGAAAAATAAAGACATTATTAAATCTGTTAACATTGCGAAAGGTGTTAAATCAATTTCTAAACAGAGATTGAAGACATTAGATCATGTTGAGAAATTACTTTTGCTTTGGATAACTGTAAAACAGTGTGCTGGCAAAAGCATATCAGAAGCAATTATTTGCGAGAAAGCTAAAAAGACACATGCTGATCTCATGAAAAATCAAGCAGGAACTAGCCAGGAAAACGAGGTGTTTAAAGCCAGACATTTTTTTCATGAGAACAGATTAATCATTTTTACATTACTTCTTATGGGAAAGGTTGGTTTGATATACGTCCTATTCGGTATAAGTCCAAACATTAGGAACGGATTAAGGTCGTATACCGAGGTTCCACTGTATATGTTTTTATAGTAATAATTGAAGAAATAACTTTATTGTGTAAATTTATTTACTAGTGTCCATCAGTTGTCGAGCGAAAAAACTACTGAACACTGGTCGTGAGTTTGCATCCGATCATGTGGAGTTTTCTTCGCGTGTCTACATCTAGCATCTAAATAAGGACCAGTTTCCCATAGAAAGTCCTTCCAGGAGACATTCCGCTTGGCAGATCGTCCATGTGTTGTTATATCTCACCAAACCAAATTTACTTATTATAAATCGAATGTGATAAAATGTAAAAATAAATAATTGTTATTTAAAGGATTGATTGATGGAATAAGGCCACGCAACATATGGACGATCTGCCGAGGGGCGTATCTTCCGGGAAGACTTTCTATGAGAAAGTGGCCTCTATTTAAGTGTTAGATACGTGAAGAAAACTCGATATCGGAGGTAAGACAGACTTAGCACTGTATAGGGCGGTGCCAGACACTATAAAGAACCTTACCTGCCAGGTACAGAACACTAACGTGTTAAGTTATTCATACCTAAGTTAAAATAAATTATCATTTCTACAATAAATATTGTAAGTTTGATAACAACTATACAGTTAGTCAGTTAATCCAAGCTAAGATAGAAACAAACTTTTTATATGGAAACATAAAAAAATATAATATAATTGCACTGCAATGCTTACTTCCCGGCTCTGCTATATATAACAGAGGAAAAGTATGGCGATCGGTCAAAAATGACTCCCTAAGATTTTTACATTTTTGGATTTGGGAACTTAAAACGTCGAGAAATGAAAACAATGGGGGGTTCTGTATGCATGGACGTTAGCTGATTATTGTGTATAAGGGATATTGATACTGTAGGGTGGACACGATTTTATTCTCTCTTTGAGGCTTAACTCCTGTGCTTTTTGTCGAAGATTTTTTAAATTTTGTACGGAGATTTGGGTATTAGGGGATCGACGCTATTAAATTTCCGTTGTTAAAGGTCGAGGAGGTAGGGAGATAGAGAGAGGGTAGTGTGTCATATCTCGATAGAGGCGAATTTAATGACGATTTTACTCGTTATTAGCATTTACAATTTTTTTTATTTAAAACGCATCTCTAGCCACAAAATTAAGCTTTTTGCCATTTTATAATCGTTAAAAATATAAAATATTTTGTTTAGTGAAATATCGCAATAGATGGCGCCACCAAATATTGCCGGGAAAGTTGAGCAACTCGATGCTGGATTTTTTATGGAGAGATGCATTTCGGATTTTCCGCTTTTTCCACCGTCTCCATATTTTAAAAGATACATAATCATATTAACTTGTCACCAATTAAATTTACAATAAATGGTTACCTTTATTTGTAGTGTGGTTTTACACGACAATCGTAACAAATTAATAAAATATTACACCATCAGGATAAAGCAGTGTTTTATATCAGCATCTATCCTGTAAAAATTTATTACTAACAACTAACTAATAAAACTTTTAACTATTAATGTAAGTTATATTTATTTTCTGTACATATTTATTTATTATTAAAGTCGATCCTAAAATTCTTGGGAGAGGGAAACCTCCGACTAATGGCAGGGAACAAACAGTTTTCATCACCAATAATTCTCTCAATTTTGTTTTGGTTTCGTAAGACTAATTCTTTCTTTTTGGACACGACTTTGTTTTGGTTTAGGAATCCTTAAAATTTTGCATGTTGAACTCGTCCACTTACTATTTGTAGGGATGAAATTTTTATGGTATTGAAGAGTGTCTTATAGGAAGTATTGAAATACTAATAAGAACCATCATAATATGCAAGTATATTGGTGTTTTGTGATGCTATGTGTAGAAATGATGTATTGAATGATTTATACTAGCTTTTAGCTCGTAAAAGAGTTCATTCAATACATCATTTCAATACAATTCTGTTTATGTAAAGTTTTAAGCTTGATCCGTTCGGAAAAACCTAACCGTTTCTTGAAAGAATAGATACTTTGTCGTAATGAAACATTGCAATAAAAATTCTACAGCCGTTCCTAAACTAATATCAGACATATTATCAAATATTATCAAAACTAATGGAAACTTGGTTTTAACTAACGGATTTGGGAATGAAAACTGCATCAATTGTACAGTACACGGTAATTATATATACACTGAGAGTAGATAGAATCTACTGAACAGACTACAATAATAATTGGGGATTACCTTAAGGGCTGTCCATAAATGACGTCACACTGGGAGGGAAGAGGTTATGACAAGTCCGACAAAGGGGAGTCCGACAATTTATACGTTTTATTATGCATAAAGTGATAAAGATTCTGAGAGTGTTTGAGTTTTGCTGGACATCCGACGGGGGAGGGGTTACGGAAACTTGGACAAACTGGGACAGGAGGGGAACGGGGAGTAAAAATTTCTAGAAAAATGCGGACGTAATTTATGGACAGCCGCTTGATGATAACATGGGGAAGAGAATTATGAATAAAAAGCAATAATAATTATTTTTCATCCCACCAGGTGGCGTTGGTATGATAGAACAAAGAAATTTAAGTTGAACAAACATAACCTTTGTTTTATAAATCAAGATTCTCAATTTCTGAACAATTAGTATGCAAAATCTGCTGGAAATGTATCAATAATATAGCATGGCCCCACAGCTGCTTGAAGCATGTCTTCACTGCAACATGTTAGGGGCTATTCATAAATTACGTCCGCATTTTTCTTGAAATTTTTACCAGTGGCGTACCGTGGGTGTCAGCCGCCCGGGGCGGAGGAAAATTTCGGCCCCCCCCCTATTTAGGTATTTCAATTTAAAAGACCAAAATTCAGTTTTGTGACAGAACAAGCAATGAAAAATTCGCTGGTAGTGCAGTGACCTGTTTAAAATAGTTCTATTGGATATTAGTGGTGTATATGAACGCGAAAGAAGAAAAAAAAGGTCAACAGGTTTCGCAGGATTTCCTCGGATGAAAAAGTTACTAGTTCACCCGGCGAGCCGATTCCCGGACTGTCCGGACGATAGCACTATGTAGGCGCGATGCAAGTATAGATTAGGATGTTTCAAATTTTTACAAGATATTATTATTATTTATTGTGAAATTTTGCCGTCCCCTAAAAGGTGCCGCCCCTGCCGCCCCCACTACGGTATGCCACTGATTTTTACTCCCTTCCTAACTTGTTCCACTTTGTCCAAGTTTCTGAAACTCCTCCCTTCTTCGGACATCCAACAAAACTCAACCCCTGTTAAAACCTTCATCACTTTATGAATACCATAAGTAGAAAGGAAACATACAAGAAATTTTGAAATAAATATAAAATAATGTATAAACTGTATAAAATTTAATGAAATAATCGGACGTCCATATCTCAAGGAAAGCTCAACACCTCCCTTTCCCCTTGTCCGACTTGTCGTAACCCCCTCCCCTTGCAGTAGTATGGACAGCCCCTAATGTTATCTTTGTCTGCAGTTCAGCAAATGATTGAACATTACCTTGGTAAACTCAGCTTTTCAAATAACCTCATAATTAGTTCTCTATTGGAACTTGGTTGTTTTTTAACCATTTAAATTTTCCAGGAAATTCTTATTCTGGGAAATCTCACAAATTCCTTAAAA